GCCATTTATAGACCTGATGTCATGCCTCCTGAACACACCCTAAGAGGCAGGGAGGCAGAAATGGTGAGTCCCTGTGATACCAAAAGGGGCTGTGACTACTAGAAGGATCAAGTCACAAGCACCTGCAGAGATGAGATGGACCTTAGCTATTCTAACTCTTGCTTTCATCTGTAAACTAAGAATTAAAATATGTCTTCTGCACAAGGTTTCTTCTGAGATGTCAATGAGCAAATGCATGTGAAATCATCTATCACAGTACCTGGCATATAGTAACTATTTCCCTTCTTTTCCGTCAGCAACACTGCTAAGTTCTATCTGGATGTAAGTAGTTTGTTAGCTCAGTATTACCACTAATGATCAGATCACATGTCTTAGCAGAGCCCTGAGGGCTAAACCCTGTGCCTGTATCCTCTGTCCCCTTCGGTCTCACCTGCTCCAGGCAGCTCCGACAGGCCTCCTGGATCAGCTGCTCTGCATCCACTTCTTCCCCAACGTTGTCTCGCACATTCAGTGCTGCCTTCTGGAAGAACTAGGGGGGAGTACGATAGAGGAAAGGTCAGAAGTCCTGCTAATTTGCATCAACTTGAAGGAAACTGAGTATGAAAGAGAAGCTTTTCTCATACCCTTGTACAGAAGGGAAAACTGATTATGAGCATGGTTTTGAGATCACACAGATATAGATTCATATCCCGGTCTCTGTTTCCCCACTCTATCCTCATTTGAGGAGGATAATCATGGAGGTGACCAAAGGATGGTCATTACAGCACTAATGTGTAAACAATGCAAAATCAAAGAATAACGTAAATGTCCAGGTATAACTTATGGTATAACCATGCCATGAAGTAATATGCAAATGTTAAAAATCACAGTAAGGATGTATAGGAGAATATATTTTTGACATAAAAGGTATTCATGGTATACTGCCAAGTGAAGGAAGTAAGTTATAAAATAGTTTGGCATTGTATGAGCCTATTTATGTAAAATAGCAAAAAGCAAACACAGAGAGACAAAAGAACTGTAAGAATATATATTAAAGTAATGGCGGCAATATCATGGATGATTGCTTTTTAAAATCTATATTCTCTCAATTTTTATAGTGTACATGTATTACTTCTGTAGAAAAAAAAAAGAATGCCAGTGCCTAGGTGAATAGGCCAGGGTCAGCCTGAGAAAATTCAGAAACAGAAAGTCCTGATTGAATCTGACTTTGCCCAAGCCGAAACATCTATGGCATGGGAGGAGTGAGACCTGGCCAGGGCCCCAGGATTTCAGTGGTTCCAATTGGCTGGGGAAAGGAAGGCAGAAGTTTCCTCCACTGGCTATAAGAGGGAGACCTTGAGCCTGAGAACACTGAAGGACAAGGTGATGTGAAGCCCCAAACCAAGGCATTGAGAACATACTCAGAATAAGAGTCCAAGCTGTGGCTCTAGAACTAAGTGTCAGTTCTCTCTGGCATATGGAAGAATTCTGGAACCTATAACCAATGCTCCTCCTGTGGGAGATAACCACGGGAATGTACTGTCATTTTATATTTCTCAGGTCAAATGCCTTCGTTGTTAACACTGAACCAAGGAGAAGAGTGTGAAAGCGCTGACTTAGAGACCTTACGAGTTTAGGAAGAAAATTCTTCAGGCCTAATTAAATAGTATGAGCAAGTGAGTTTGACTTTAAAACAAAAACTAAATTAATACCGGTGATCAGTACTGATTATTGGCTAAATGAAAGCTAGTTAAAATAATTTAGATATTTTACACCAACCTGTGAGGAAGTCAGTGCAATGAATATACCTCATAGGTATATGGAAGCTACCACTGGACCTGGGAATGAAATCCAGTGATGAATAAAAGGCGTTCTCAAACACTACTGGTAGAAATGCAAAATGGTATAACCTCTCTGGAGGGAAATTATCTCAAGGGAAAGGTATGTTATCCCTCTTACCTACCAATTCCCTCTCTAGGAGTTTATCCCCCAGAAGGGCTCTCACAAGTGAACCAAAGAAATATATTCGAAGTGTTCAATGTAGCACTGTCTGTAATAGAGAAAAACTGGCAACAACCTAAATGTCCTAGGGACCAGCTAATCAAACTATGGTGCAACCATTCAACAGACCTGGGGTGGGGTCTGATCACAGTGGGTCATATATGCCATGTTAAGGAATCTGGATTTTACCCAGAAGACAATGGGAAGACACTGACAGATATTAAACAGGGGAATGACACCATTGGACTTACATGTTAGGGATCACTGGCAGCTGCCTGGAGGGTGGGTTGAAAGAGGGAGAGAATAGAGGCAGTTAGGGAGTATAGTAGGAGCCTGGGTGAGAAATAATGAAGGTCTGAACCAAAGCAGAGGTGAGGAGGAAGGGCGTACTCGACAGATCATGCGGTGGAGCATACGTGACGCCACAATTGGATAGAGAAGATGAAGAAGGCAGTGTCCCTGGTTTTTGGTTTCTAAGTAAATGATGGTCCCATTCAAACTTAACGTGTCCAAAACTGAGTTCCTGATTTCCCCCACCTGTTCTCCTCTTCCTCATGTCAAGTCAATAGCAACCTCTATCTTTATAGTTGTCTAGGGCAAATAACGTGGGAGTCATTCTCTATTTCTTTCACCTTGTGCATCTGAATCATTGGCAAATCCTATTGCTACCTTTAAAATACATACAGAATCTGACTTTATCCCAACATCTTCATTGATAACAGCCAAGCCAGTATCATCTCAAGCCTCCTAACTGGTTCTCCTACAGTCTATTCTCTATGCGGCAGTCAGAGTGACTCTTTGTTCACTGCTATATCCCCCGTGCCTAGAACAGTGCCTGCCAGTAAACACTTCTCGAATGAATGAATAAACAGAAGAGGAGGAGGTTTAGGAATAAAAACAAAGAGTTCTGTTCAGAATATTCTGGGTTTAAAGTATCCATGGGGCATTCAGGTAGAACCATGTAGATGTTTATGCACAGTTCTAGACACAAATTTTAAATAATAACAATGGTGATATTATTAAACAAGTAATAAAAACAGTTGTTATGTTCCAAGCACGGTTCTGAGCACATTACACTTAAATCATTTTACCCTCACGATAGCCTGGCAAAAGAAGTATTCGAATTACTCGCTAAGAGGGAAAAAAGTTTGTGGCGGTTCAGAATTGGAAAGCTTTAGATATCTGTGTGTACTATAGCAAGCCAGGAAGATTGTGATGCAGCGAAGGACTGCCGATGAGTCTTTCTCCCTGTTAATGGTTTATCTTTGTGTCCCTCTCACCTTCATGTACTTGTTGAAGACAGTCTGGATCTCCTCATTGATGCTAGGCTGAAGGACAGCTCGGAGGAGGTCCATGGAGATGGAAGGATCTGTGAAACTGCATTCAGGAGAAAGATAGTCAGGGGGCATGGCCCAAATAGATCCTTTCTAGTCTGCCCAGCCAATTCTTGACAATGGATCCTTTAATGACAATAATATATAGCTTTTCTAGAATACTAGCTGTGTGCCGAGGTTCTGTGCAAACCACATAAATGCACGGCTTTATTTCATTCTCATAACTCTATGAAATGGGTATTATTTTAAAAGTGTTTTATGAAGTGTAACACATACAGAAAATTCTGTACACTTTAATAGTTTTAGTGAAGATCCATTTAATTGGCGCTCTCTCTTCCCTTTTATTATTTATTATTATTTGATAATAATAAGTTATTTATTATTCATTATTACCGAAAGGTAATAGTACCCTGTGGATACTATTAGTCACATTTTTCTTAACCTCCATGCTACTCTGCCTCTTTAGAACCCTCAAACATGGAGCCAAGGAATGTTAGGTGTTGTTTAATCCCTCATTTTGTACATGAGTTCAGAGGGGAAAGTGACTTGCTCAAGGGCACATAGTTATAGACTCTGAGTCTCCTCTTTCCTAGTCCGGTGCTCTTTCTACGGGCTAAGGATCGCTTCTCAGCCTCGTGCAATGGGGATCCCCAAGCCGCCTTCCAAACCAATGCCTGGGAGCTAAGGCCCAGGTCAGCCTTACCTTGTTGTCATCTGCGAGCGGCGGCCCCTTCGCTGCACCTGCCGGTGCTTTATCATTATGTTCCAAGGGTTCTGTGGGGACCAAGGGAGCAGATGTCACCGAGGTCCGTGACACTCAGGTGGAGGCGGAGGGTGGGTATGAAGTTAAACTTAGACAGCCCTGCTTCTCGGGTGCTTTCACCATCTCTCTCACCTTGGGGTCTGGGGTACAGCAGTGGTTGGAAGGCTCTGCCAGGGAAGGGAAACTCAAGGAAAGTTCCCAGCCTCAAAAGTCCTGACCTCACCTTTTCCAGGAACGGCTGGAGGAAGGGAACCAGTGTTTACCGAGTGCCTACTCTGTGGCAGACGATGTCTGGGCGCTTTACCCGTATTTACATCCCATCCCCACAACAACCTTATGAGGCAGGTACTAATCATCTCCGTTTTACAGAATAGGAACTGGAGCTCAGGGGCTTGACAGGACCGGCCCAAGTCACCTAGCTAGGAAGGTGGCACCAGAATTTGAATCCAGGTCGTCGGACTGTGAAAACGCCAACCCCCTCAGCAGCACCAGCCGCCGCGTTCTCTCGCCCGCGGGCCAAGGTCCCGGGAGCCCGAGGCCCCGCCGGCCCGAGCCCAGGCCCGGCCCGGCCTCCCTGGGGGCGCCCTCACCGTGAGAACAAGCTGCCCCGCTGCGCCCGCGTCTCCCAGTTCGGGGCCGCCCCGCTCTGCCCCGCCGGGTCCCCGCGGCTGCTCGGCGTCGCCAGTAGCCCCCATGGCGCCCCCGACCCTTACAACTTCAGCCCGACTCTGCCACCGGCCGGAAAGTGGCCACTTGACGTCACTGGAGCGCGCCGGCCGCCAGCCCGGAAGCACGACACGACGAGCTGCGCAGTCACCATGGGAACCAAACCGCCGCGTCTCTCTGGGGTCCGGGACACTTAGAGGCTTTGTGCGAGGGGGTGGTTGAGCTTCCTTCGGGGAGGGGCGGCGTCTCAGGTGTGGACGTGGAGCAGGGGGCTTCAGTCAAGGATTGTTCTCCGGCTGGAGAAGTGCGGGGCAGAGGGAGGGGAGCAGGTTTCCAGCGCCTGGGGTTGGGGTGCTGAGAGGGGAGCGTTTCGTACAGCGGCGCCTGCAGTTCGGTCTTTGAAAACTGCTAAAGATTTTAATATGCCGGGTACTCAGCCCTCGGAATTGGAGTGGGCCTAATGCGGGGACCCGGGAACCCGATAACAGGAGGTCTGGCCCTAACACCCACTGGGTCTCTCCAGACCTCGACCCCAGGGCTGCCTCTTGTACCTGAAGGCATCAGAATGAAGGTTGGGACTTGGACCGTGGATTCCCCCAGCCCCAGGGAGCTGGGCTTCTCTCCCCAGACGTGATTCTGGGATGGGCCGGGGATGCAGGGGTTTAACAGCTGTGGCGTTATCCGGAGCTCCCTTTAGCTCCGCCCTAGAGGTAAGACGCCCCTGAATAGAATTGGATCGATTTATGGGTGGTAGAGAAAGTTACTTTCCCCCTAAGTCACAATATAGGGTAGTAGAAAGTGCATGTGCTTTGCAGTTAAAAAGATCTGTGTTCAAATTCAGTACGATATAGTGATTAAAGAACTGTGGGATTGGACTGCCTTCCTTTGTTCGACCACTTAATAGCATGCGACCCACGGGTCTTTCTGTGTCTCAGTTTCCCCGTCTGTAGAATGGGGATAATAGTACCTAACTCATAGGGTTGCAGTGAGGATTGAGTTAATTCACATAAAGCACATAGAACTGTGGCACAGATAAACCCTGAAACAATGCTATGTGTTATTACTATTATTAAATCCCAGCAACTACCACCTACAAGCTTTATGACCTTGGGCAATTTTTCTCAGCCCCTCTGAACCACTTTTCTTACCTCCGTAAGATTATTGTGAGGATTAAAATAAATAATGTATACAAAGCACATATTAGGTCAAAAAATATTAATCATCTCCATGCTCCAATATCAGCCTTAAAATAATAAGGCAACTTCCTGGTACCAAACTCTTTGGTGTTATTAAGGAAGTTTTTACCTTGAGCCTTAAATGTTCTTCACCCTTTAACCTCATTGGGCACTATTCGGTATCATGGCTGACAAAAGTTATAAGCAGAGAAATAAAAAAAGTAGAGCAAGAAGAGACAAATAGGAGTATATATGGTTTAGACTACTTGAGTCATAGCAACTGTTCTTTTGGGTTCTGCGAACCGGCCTTCATACAATCCAAGAACAGCCTGTGTGGGCTAAAGGGACCAAAATGTGGGGTTTTGGTGCATTTGTATTAGTTCTGAACAAACTCAAATATGGCTTTTCTGTAGCTTTTTGATCGTTTCTAAGTAATCTGTTCCGTTCTCTGTTTTCTAGGTTGAACAGGATGAACAAGATGAACAGGATGAACCACAGTGTGTTTTGTTAGCTTTGGTTATTTTTAAGTCATACCTCTTGTCCCTTCTTCTGTCATTTCACTGTAGCTGTGCCCTTCCAAAGCCTTTTAGGGCTCTCTTTGATCCTTTGTTCAGTGGCCATCCCTCTGTTTTCCTAGGTTCCTCGTCATTGTCCAAGGGTGTTGTGTATATTGCATTACAGAGTTTGATTGCCACCATCACATGTGCCCTTTGGTAGTGCCAGGAATTTTTCCATATACCAGCAACCAATAAATTTTCTTCCTGTTAGGAGAAGCCATCCTTGGGGATTATTGCGAAAGAGAAGACTTTGGGGCTGGGTTTAGGCCAGTCTCCTAGTCGCCTTCCTTCCGTTGGTACTATACCCTGGCCAAAGTGCACCAAGCTGAGTGCTCATCTCAACTCTCAGCATCATCATGTTGAGCTGCCTCTTCCTCCTGAAGGCACTTCTTGCCCTTGGGTTCCTGACATCCTGGGTGACTGCAGGAGAACATGGTGAGCTATCATTTGGGATCCCTGGTGAACAGTAACAGAAAGTGACTAGAGAAGTCATCCCCTTCCTTCTCCCAGAGTGAGGGGCCTCATTTGTGGAGACAGTCATCTCTGTAGGATGGGAGTGGATGCATAGAGTCTCTGGACAGCCAGGGTAGATCCGCCTGGCTTTCTTTACCCTCTTTGGACAAGGAGATTGGATTTCCAGTCTGGCTTTCCCCTAGAAAGTGAAAGAAAGCTAGTGGTTAGAATAGAGACAGGGAGGGAGAGATTGATTCCAGGTGAGGATAGAGTCTGGGGAGGTGGCGGTGGGAATGGAGAAAGGTGACACAGTTGAGAGAATATGGAGGTAGAAGTGACAGAACTCTATGGTCTATTCCTTGCCTCCTACCTCATTCCCGAGAGGTGCTAGATATAGACATTAACTTAGGGAGAACTGACATTTTTATAATGTTGAATCTTTATGTCGTCCCATTGTCCAAGTGTGTTTGGTGTATTTCGGGGTGTTTTTTAATTTTAAAGTATTTCTTGATAAGTTAATGCCTAGGTTATTTAATGATCTTCTTTGCTGTCTCAAATGGGGTCTTCCATTATGTCTTCCATTATTACTTTCTAGAGGAACTGGAACCATTCTCTCATTTGAGTACACGTAGCAGGGAACATTCTGTTACAGTAGATTTGGGTTCAAGCCTGAGGCTCATCAGCTGCTGGCCAGGGGGTTCCTGGTCAAGACTCTTCTGCTTTTCTGAGCCTCAGTTCCTTTCACTGTCAAACAGAAAGAATAAATCTCAGAGGTGGTTGTAATGATTCAAAGTATGTAAAGTGTTTGGCCCTCATCATACATTAGCTCCCTTCCTCTCACCTCCTAACGTGGCCTTTGCCAGGAGTACAGTCTCTAACCATCGAGAATCAAGATCATTTTCTCCTCCCCTGATCACTTCTTCTCTGAGACCCAGAAACTCCACAATATGTGACATCCTCTTTCCTTCCAGCCAGACCTCCCCAGGTAGCAGGCCCCATCCTGTGTCCAGTGGGTTGCCTGGGCCTGGCTTAGGCGGCTCTCTTGGGCAGCCTGCCCGTGAGAGAGAATAGAGGGTTGTACTCCTTGCCAGGACTCTTGACTCCCAGTTCTGGAACCAGAGCCTGGGAATCTGTCTCAGGCAGGTCACCCACTGCCAGCTCGTAGGGCCTGGTACAATCTGCCCAGTGTTTGAAGCTGATGGCTGAATTGCGGGGGCTGAGGATGAGGCTGGCACCCTGGCAAGGCACCTTTGTGAGCTGCTCTGGGCCCCGGCCAGCCCAGATGGGGCTTCCTCTGTCCTTGGAGCCAGACTAGTGATCTCTGCACATCTCCTGTTGTCTGCTGGCTGACTGGGGTTCCTAGTCTGGTGGGTGGCAGTGTTGGCTGCTGTTCGTAGTTACAGTTCCGGTCCCAGAGGAGGGCTGGGCACTCAACTAATGGCACTGGTTGCTCCACGCAGCCCCACAGGAAGCTCTCCTTCCTGGGCTGTGGACAACTCCTGCCTTCCCTAAGTTCTGACGTGGTCAAGGGTTTACCATGGCCTCTGCTGCTCTGTTTGGTAGGGTGGAGGGACAGTCAAGTGACCTGAGGGGCACAGGGCAGATGCTAGGACCTGTTCCCATGAGGCAGTTCTGGTCTGAACATGGATCTGCTACCTGGCTCTTCTGCTTGCTTCCTGGCGGCCTTGGGCAGGTCTTTCATCCCTCCCAAACTCATTTTTGTCATCTGTAAAATGGAGATATGAACATTAACCTCATAGAGTGAAAAATACAGTGTCTTAGTCTGTTTGGGCTGCTGTAACAGCATACCATAGACTGGGTGGCATATAAACAGCAGAAATTTATTTCTCACATTTCTGGAAGCTGGGAAGTGCAGGGTCAAGGTGCCAGCAGATTCAGGTCTGGTGACGGCCATCTCTTTTATTGTGGCCTCGCACTATAGAAGGGCAATAAGGGTATAATATTCATGACCTAATCACTTCCAAAGGCTCTACTTCCAAACACCCTCATGCTGGGGATTAGGTTTTAATATATAAAAATTTTTTTGAGCGGGGACACAGACATTCTGTCTATATCATGCAGTTTAGAAGAAATACATCTAAAAAGCCTATACGAAAGCTGCCAAACGATGTTCAATAGCTCATATAGTCACACCCAGCACCTCTCTGTTCAGGCGCCCTCCCCACCCGTCTGAAGTGTGACCTGTCTGTTCATTCACTTATTCGTTACATAGCGAGTGTCTCCCCCACCTAGCACAAGGGCATCTCATGGTGAGCAAGGCAGCCATGGTCCTTGTTCTCATGGTGTGAAAGACAAAAAATAATCATCGACAAACAATAATAACCACGTTGTGGTGAGTGCTATGAAGGTGAAGAAGACAGTGTCATTTGAACTTGGAGAAGGAGCTGGAGAAGGAGCTGGCCGTCGGGCGGGGTGCCGTGGAGAGGGAGCTGCGGAGGCAAAGGCTGTGAGGTGGGGAAGAGCCCGCTGCTTTTCGGGAAGTGAAGGGGGTCAGTGCGGTTGGGAAAAAGAGGAGGAGGAGGAGGTGGTTCCAGTTGGGGCAGAGTCCAGACTTTGGGGGTTCTCCAGGGCGCTGTCTGGGGCTTTGTCGTAGGTGCAGTGGGAGGCCTTGGGAGGGGCTTATGACAGCAGGAGAGGCCAGGTCCCGTTTTCATTTTAAAAATACCACTCTGCTGGTGTGTGAAGAACGGATAGGACAAGTGGAGAAGACAGCAGGTGAGTGAAGGGGCCCTTGCGGCAGGCTGGGTGAGAGGCGACCATGGCTGAGACCAGGGTGGTGACAGCGCAGACGTAGAAAAGCAACAGACGTGAAGCACTCGAGAAGGTCCAGTTGGTAGGAACTGGTGAAGAAGTAGGTGGATGTGAGTCTGAGGGAGAGGAACTGTCAAGAATGGCGCCGAGGTGTCTGGCCTGAGCAGCTGGGTGGTGGGTGGGGTGGGTGGGGGTGCTCCTTACTGAGAAAGGGACACGTGGCAACGAGGAAGTTTTGAAGCGAAGATTCAGATGACGGCCGAAGAGTTGTCTCCATTGGCCGCCTCATGGCCTCCCTCCTACCACACGACTTGGCCACCCAGTCCCTGGTGACCCTCTGTTTTGCTTATCACAACATGTGCATTATGCCCTTTCAATGGACTGATGCCGTGGGCTCCCTGTGTGTTTGGATGACCTTTTCCCGAAACCTCACTGCGGAGAATTTGGATTTTGAGAGTGTTCCCACCACGCTAACTGACAAGACGGGTGGGCACCAGGCAGAGGGTGCCCATGTGACCAGCCCCACATGAACACCCAAGTCCAACGCACTTCCCCGGTAGACGGCACTTCTCACGTGCTGTCATGCGCCCCGTGTGACTCATGGGAGAGGACCCTTGGGATCTGGTGGCTGCTTTCCTCTGGACTTTGCCTCACGCACCTTCTCCCTGTGACGAGTTTGCCTCCTATGGCTTTGCTGTAATAAATCAGAGCCGCGAGTACAACTAGATGCTGAGTCCTCTGAACACTAGCGAATCAGCGAACCCGAGATGGGCCCGGGGCTCCCGACACACTGGTGTGTTTGTACGTTTTCCTAAAAGACCACCGACCGTCGGGTCTTCTCTCTCGGCAGAACCGAGCTGGGCGAGTCCCAGCGCTCGTTAATTTGTTTTGGGGTGATCCTTGCAGAGCGTAGGGGATCACAGTGATGTGGTTTAAAGGGCACCCCCAGAGCTGGGGATGTGGGACCCACTTCTGCCGCCATTGACCTCAGGCCAATCCCTCTCCCTTCCTGGAAGTCTGTCTGTCTGTCTGTCTGTCTGCAGGAGAAGAGGAGTACATTCGATAGCTCAGAGGGCCCTTCTTGGCTTAAGAAGTTTTGGAATTTCACTTCTCTGTTGGCAACTGTCCATGTCCCCGAGACCAGGCGTAGAGACCAGACCTCTCCTCTCTTCCAGTAGCAGAGTGCTGCTGGCCCTGGTCACTTCAGGGCCAAACTCAGCAAAATGATGGAATCTCGGAAGTGTGCTTTCTAACTAGGGCACGTGGTATAAGTCCGTGGGAAGTTTATGTTGCCGGGTTTTTTCTACCAGAGAGAATTATTACGCTTAGCCTTCTCAGCCATGGCTAAAAGGCTTTGTTCTTTGTTAAATGGATTTTAGTGTTTGTCAGGCGGGTGGGGAACTGTGGGGAGGTACATATGATGGTTATAGTGACCATATTTTTCGAATAAAAAATCAGGACGTGCAGTTTTGATGTGATCTGACCATGATATAGAATATTTGAAAGATGGGGGCTGTTCGGGAAAATCTGAGGCTGCAGGGTTATTATACCTTGATTGTTTAGCGGTGCTCATTGCCCTCGGAGAAAAACCAAAGCAGGCCAACACTTGCTTCTTCCACCATGGCGGACTTTCTGGAGCCGGCCGTATGCAGCCCCGCTTACTTGTCCCTACGCCTGGGCACCAGGCCAGTCCTGCTTTGGTTTTTCTACAAAGCCTTTAACTGCCTGTCATTTTTATATCCATTTAAAAATCTTGAAATAAACACTGAGATGAATGAGTCACGGCAAATTGGTTTGGTTTGGATGTGGCTCCATTAGGTGTGCCTGCTCCCAGGGACCTTGCCCAGGGGCCTGGCCCCGCGCCCTGGCCCGTCGCCTGTGTGTTTTCAGGATGGCGTAGCAGAAAGAGCACTTCACTGCGAGTCAAGAGGCTGGGGTTTGTCCTGCTTCGCCGCTGGCTCACTCTGGAGTCCTGGACGAGCGAGCCCCTTCTCCTCTCTGTGTTTCCCTGTCTTCGCAGGGGCGGGGAAGGGGCACACCAGGAGTGTGTGGCTGTTCACAGCAGGAAATTAACCAAAAGCGTTCTTTTTTTTCACATAACAAGTCTAGAAGTAGGCGCCGGGGCTGGGGTGGCAGCTTCGTGATGCGAACAAGGACAGGGCCGTTTCTCTCTTTACAGCCTTTTGCAGTCCTTGACTTTGTCCTCATACTAGTTGCCTCTTGGTTGAAGGAAGGCTGCTCTCCCTCGCCATGTTGTCTGTCTTTGGAAAGAAGAGGGGCCATTTGCAAGCTGTGTTCCCTGTGTCAGGAGCGCAGAAGTTTTCCCAGTTTATGTCTTAGTTTGTACTCACTCCCTAGTTACGAGGGAATGTGGGGAAGCAAATCATTGTAGCTGGCTGTGCTCATTGCCTCTCAGAACAAATCCAGGGTTCTGTTAACCAGGGTTTCAGTTATCTATTGCTGCATAGAAACCACCCCCAAACTTAGTGGCTTGAAATAATGACAGTTTATTTCTTCTCACAGTTGTGCGGGTTGGTGGGGCTTAGTGGGCGGTTCTTATGCCCACCTGGTGCATCTGAGGTCACTCATGCAGCTGCTTGCAGCTGGGAGCTTGGCGGGGAGCTGGACTGTGGCTGGGATGTGCAGATGCCTGTCTTTGTCCAGGTTCTCTCCCGGGGCATCTTGTCATCCTACAGTCTAGCCCAATGTGCTACACAGCACGGTGGCTGGTTTCCCAGGGCCGGGGTTGGGGGGGGCAGGGGGGGATATTCTTAGAGGACAAGCCCCCAAATGCAAGTGCTTACCAAGGCTCTGCTTGTATCAGTCACACCAGCTGATGTCCTGTTGGTCAAAGCAAGTCACATGGTAAAGGCCAGAGACAATGTGTGGGAGGGGGCTACACAAGGGCATGAGTCCCAGGAGGTGGGGTTCATTGGGGGCCACCAGTGTAGGTGTCCATCACAGTAAGAAAGGAGGGAGAATGAATATAGGGTTGGCCATTAGTATCTTTGCCACAGTGGGTTAGACCACAGCAGTGTTTTTCAATTTGCAGGTCTTCAAATGAATTTAGTAGTGTGTGGCCAGCACTAAAAAATAAAGTAGAGAGAATATAAAGTACCAGCAGTGCATATTCATGTATGCTCATAAATACATACATTTTAAACACACACCTGTATTAACATACATGTGGAACACAAGGAAAAATGTATTTTATATTCGCGTCGCAATAAAAATAGCTGGAAACATTGGGCTTGAGCCCAGTTTCTAGACCCTGGTGCTCTGATTCTGTGGCAGAGTCTGGCGGTGAATGTCCTGCCGACCCCCTTCCGTGTAAGGAGCTGTGTGATGGGGATGCAGCCTGTCCCCAGGGGCATAAATGCTGCAGCACCGGCTGTGGCCACGCCTGCCGTAGAGTCCATACTGGAGGTATGTCTGCTTTTTCTTTCAGAGGAGAAATCCTTGGGTGGTCCCTGGGTTCCGGAGTCAGTTTGGGAGCAAGCCTTCTGGTCTTTCCTTTCCTGGGAGGAGTCAGAGTTCTCATCCTTCCTGTCCCCCAACCCAAAGCAACCCCTCCTCCCAGGGCCAAGGGGCCTTCTTTGGCATTCAAGAACTAGGGAAAGGCAGTGTGGGGTAGTGGGAAGAACCCCTAGGCTGGAAGACAGGCCATGTGGCTTTGGTCGTGGTTTTGCTGCTGATGTGCAGTGTGACCTGGGGTGAGCAAACCTGTCTTTTTGAGCCAGTTTCTTCATCTATAAAATGTCGGCTTTGCCCAGGATCATGATTTTCTGCCCTAATTCTTAACGCAAAGCTTCCCTGTCTCTGAAAGGAAATCTTAGTTGGAAGCAATGTCTGTGCATTCCTGATCTGATTATTATTATTTTTTTCAATATATTTCTTAAAACAAATATATATTTTTGAGTGCCCCTTTGTGCCAGGCCCTGTGGAGCTACATTTCAGAACCACTGGCCCACATGTCGTCTTTAGATAACATTTAGGTTCCCTGGCAATGGTCAAGGCTCTGGGGACAGATTCTGGTCCTTACCTAGCATATAGCCTTTCAAGGAAGGTCGACAAAATTAAATAAGGAATTTTAATAAAGTCCGACAGAGGAGTGCCGTGCGGGGCCCCACACCTTGTCTAGAGAAGGCTCCCCGAGGAAGCGACACTGGGAGGCCCAAGCACAGAGGAGACGGTGGCGGTCTGGGAGCCTTGTCCCTTCTGCACCCCTCCTGGGGCCCTGTCGGTTCTCAGATGCTCCAGCTTCGAGCTCTCCCAGCCAGATCTGTGGTTCAGATCTAGTTAGATCAGGGATGTATCTGCCTGGAGCCCCCATGTCCAAGTTCCAGATGGGAACGTGGAGTTGGTGGAGCTGACCATCCTGTCTCTTCCACTATGCCTGCTGTCGTGCAGGGCGCAGTGGCAACTGTCCAAAGATTCTGTTGGGCCTGTGCATCGTCGGCTGCGTGGTGGACGAGAACTGTCAAGCCGGGAAAAAGTGCTGCAAGTCGGGCTGCGGCCGCTTCTGCGTCCCGCCAGTTCTGCCACCCCGCCTGGCCACGAGCCCCAACTGGACCATCGGGTCTGATTCTTAACTAGGTGAGTACAGTCCCACGTCACCAACACTGGCCTTAACTGCTGCGTGCAAAGCACTGGCTTAGGTGCTAGGTAGGGGCCTGCAGACGGTCAAGACAAAGGTTTTACCCTGTGGTGTCTAATCGGAGAGAAAGATCACATGTCACAGATCATATATCACTGAACCCTTGCATAGACAGCCTGGGCTTATAGGCTTTCAGAGAGGGTATGGCTCCTTGGGAAGGTCTTTCTGCTAGAAGCTGGAGGTGATCTGGGTCCTAAAGGCAAGGCAGGATGTGACAAAGGGAAGGCAGCCCAGGGAATATGCTGGACTGGCGGTCTGGTGACTGTTAGCAAAGGCACAGAGGGTGGAATGGAGGTGGCATGTTTGGGGAGCTGTGGTGGGGGTGGGGTGAGAATGGGTAAAGGAACAGACAAGCTGTCCTATAATGAGATATGCAGTTGACATCTGCATGATGAGACTCTTCGATGCCTGTTTGGTCGGGGTTGTCTAGGAAGCAGAGATGCTTAAAGCCTCCAGGAGCAGCGTATGCCACGCTCCTCGAGAGTGGAAGAGAAACGTGTTGGGGAGCTGGAACCAGGAGGGCAAAGTGGTGACTTGAGGTTTTTTTTCTTGCAGAGACCCCGGTGCCCTAGCTGTCCTGATTTGTCCTGAGCTGCTTTGGTGACTCCAAGTGGCTTGTCTTGACAGCCAGGAGAGGATCATTCCTGGGGCTTATGACACTCCCAAAGGCTCACATTGCCCTCTGCTCTTCTTCCGTTCCTGCTGCTGCCCTGGGCATCGGAAACGGGGTTGGGCAGTGGGTGTGTGGTGCTTCCTGTCCCCAATAAAGGCTGTTGCTCATCCTCTTGCCTGTGTTGTTTGGAGGCTAAGATGAGGGAAGAGAGCTAAGGGTCTGAGCAGGACTGTGGGTTTATTTAGGAAGGATAACAATCCATTCTTTTGGAAAACACTGAAAATGGGTGCTGGTCGGGTGTGGCAAGAGGAGAAGCTGAACCTAGGGTGACTTGCCATAGATGTCACTGTCAAGCCTTGGGAGTGGGACAGTCAGGCCTTTTTGGGAGCCTGCTGACCTTCTTTTTATCAGAGAATGTGGGTTAGGGTTGGAACTGGGGTGAGTGGCTAGTTTATTGTAGTCACTCGGATGTCCCCACCTTGGACCTCCTTCTTTGGGGGCCAGTCCTTGGCTCCAAGACAGGCAGTTTGTCTCCGTCTAGTAGGCAGGGGATGTCTTGGAACCATGACAATTTTAAAAAATTATATTTTTAAAATATAAAAATGGATCATATATCTTGGAGATCTTTTATGTCGTCACATACATTCTTCTACTAGAACTCGATGACAATAACCAATTTAGCGAGTCACCCTTTGTTGGACATCAATATCCTTGTACATAAATCTTGGCCTACTTTTGCAGCTGAATCTAGGTAAATTCTTAGTGGAATTCTAGTTTCTTAAATAGAGCTCGGCCAGAAAATAGGTCCTCAATAAATATTCATTGAATGAATGAAAGAATGAAAGTAATAGGAAACTGAAATCAAAGTGGCTTAGCCAATAAAGGCATTTAATTTTCTCACCTTGGAGTCTGGAGGGAAGCGGTGAGGCTGGTTTTGCAGTTCAACCACAGCTCTCATGACCAGACTCCTTCCTTTTCCTCCATCCTCAGTGTGTTGGCTTTTGTCCTTGTGCCAGTCACCTCAAGGGTACAGAATGGTTGCTGTAGCTCTGGATGTCACAGCAGGAAGAAAGTGTGTATAGAGGACAATGGCAAAGACTACCTCGGATGGTACTCAAAAAATTATCTTAAATGGTGCTCTCCTTTTAATGACAGAGTCCATTTTCCCAGAAGCTGCCTCCTCCCCAGACGTCCCTTCTCATTTCATTGGCCTGAACTGTTGCTGCAAAAGAAAGCAAATATCTGTAAACTTGGGAAGACGTGACTGTCTTAGATGAATCAAGCTTCATCCCTGAGGCTGAGGGAGGGGCCCACCAGGAGATAAAAATAAAGGTTCTATTAGCAGAAAAGGAGAGTAATGAACTATATGTGCCACACTGGACCAAAAGACATGCAATTAAAATTTGGACGGAAATTGCTAAGAGGGCAGAGCTTTTATAACAAAAAAAGTATCAGTGCCCACCTTAGACACTGCAAAAATGTTTTTAAAATTCCCAACTTTAAGGGAAAAAGGTGAGTTATAACTAAAAAAAAAAATTTCCCATCACCAATGTTTTCATGCCCTCTTTTCTAACTGTTTTCACACTGGCACGCGAAATTCTAGTTTCAACTGGGTTCAGAACATTCATTTCTTCGAGTAGAGTCAGTGTTGCGTGATCTGGAAGAGAGCTGCTGGCCTGAGCCTCGCAGTGGCCATCCGGGGGACACCTAGAGCTCCAGGTTCACATTGTGGGGAACTGGGAAGGACTGGCGTCAGTGTGATAGGCTGCTGAACTTTTTTACCTTTCGGCAGATCCCCTTGCCATTGTTTTGATTATCATTTTATTGTTTATTAAATCAAAACAATACATGCACATAGTTAAAAAAAAATCAGAAGAGCTTTCAATGAAAAACAACTGTCTGGGAATCTTAAAATACTGTAGGATGATTTTCTTCTGGGCTAGGGAGTGAGCCCCAGGCAGCTCTGCCTGAGTGCCGGGAGAGGGGTCCTTTCCGAGATCTTTCTTTCTCATTTGGGGCAGCCCGCCCATGTCCACATGGCAGCCGCTGACCTGCTTGTAGGTAGCAATAACATGAGGGAGAGAGGGAGGGAGAGAAGAGAGAAGACAGCAAGCGAGCAGGAGCTGAAGGGCTGAATTTGAATTTGGGATTGTGTTCGAGGCAGAAGTCAAGGGTTGAGATGGGGTGAAGGTGTTCAGTGAGGGCTCAGGGCTTATTTGGTGGTGGTGAGGCTCAGGTGCTCCTCCTCTCCTCCCCTGGGCTCAGACCTGTTTTGGAGGTGTGTGTGTGTGTGGGAGCAGCAATGGGCCAGGAGTTTTGAGTGAATTCTTTGCTGGGTGCTTTTATTTCCATAGCCACCAGAGGGCAGCAGAGGTCTAAGTCAGAGACCATTTCCCGGCAAGAGAAACCAAAAAACCATGCTCTAGATAGAAGCCTAGTTACAGGCTGACCATTGAGTTCCTCCCAGCTTTTTCAAGCCACTTTGAGAAAAAGTTACATAGCTGGGTCTATACTCCAGATGCCTACTGAATTGCACGTAATAAATCAGGACGTAATGTTATGTACTCCCTTTTCATATGATATGGAATGCTTCTGCAGTTTTGGTAACACTTAGCTTGGGGACATTATCACGTTATCAATGTTTCTTGTACAAAGTCGTAGAGCAAACAAATTCTTTGTGCAGCTGAAGGTGAGGGAAAAGTTTCCTTCTCATGCTGTAATAATAGGCTTTAGTCTTTCAATAATATGTCACAGACATAATTTTTAATTGTTAAAATATTCTGTTTCCTTAAATATTTATTGTTATTATTTTTTATACGTAACAAGGCTCCAGAACTCTGTAGCTCTTGCTGACCCTGTTTCCCATGACCTTTGCCAGATGGCTTCAAGTTCATTCGAACTTTTTTTCAATCTTTATTCATTAGGCTAAAGTTCCAGAATGAAATTGCCGGGCTAAATGATGCGCATATTTAAAATTTTGATAATTATAGCCAAATTGTCCTCCAAAAGACTTTTAAAAAATCAATATATGTAGTACCAGGTGGGTGTTAAACTAATTGGGGGAATCACCGCATAAATTATGTAAATATCTAACCACTATTCTGTACACCTGAAACTAATATAAAATAATGTTGAATGTCAACTGTAATTGAAAAAAATTAAGAAAAAAATCAATATATACTTCCAGTAGCCTATGAGAATTTTTGTTTCCCTACCTCCTTTATTTTTCCTATTATCTTTGTGACTTCCTAGCAATTAACACAGTGCCTTGGATGCACTGTGTTAATTGAATTTCCATTGGTTTAAAAATCTTCTTCCCCTCTAGTGTGAGCCCTGAGAAATCTCATCAGCCAAGTATGTAGTTTACATGCTCTTGTTCTTTCTTTTTTAAAAAATATTTAAAAACCTTTTTCAATTACAGTTGGCATACAATATCATGTTAGTTTTAGGTGTACAACATAGTGATTAGACATTTATATAACTTAACGAAGTGATCCCCCGATGAGTCTAGTCTTGTTCTTTGATTCAGCAGTTCTTGATGGAGCAGTCACTGACTGGTCTGGACATTGGAGATATAGAGATGAATGAGATATACTTCCTTCCCTTACTTTCCCTTTCTTACCCACTTTTAGGATTTTGTACTCTTGTTGGTTGACACTTTTCCTTCACACTCCATGTATTTAAAATAACCACTCCCTTTTTGGATATTTCCCTTTACAATGCTCTTTGGGTATATTTTTCCCAACACTCAAATGAGGTTGTTCAGGCAGGAATTAATATCTCCAGGTAGCTGATGGTTATACTGAAGCTCACTGAGGCAAAGAACCCTTCTGAAGATCATACGCAACCACGCCTAGTCTCTGGGGCTTCTGGACAGGGCCTAAGAAGAGGAGCTGGGTCTGGTGTTGATAACGCCATTATTCTGCAAGGACCTGCCACACGGGTCATTCCCAAAAGGGAGAAGAAGACCTCTCTCTACCTTGGTGTCTGAACCCCGGTGAGAGGCGAGTGGCTGGCAAGGAGGACCTTCCTCCCACCCCCACCAATCTTCCTCCAGGAGAGAAATGTGGGGTGTGGCCTCTGTGGTCTTGGACAGTATTGTCCTGGGGCTGAGGAAGGGTCCTGTGGGGCCATGTGGCCCACAGTGCCCCGTCCGTATCTCACTAGAAGGAAGACTGGATTTCCCCCCCGTGATGTCTGTGGGCTCCGCGGGCCTGTGTCTTCCATTGCCACAGTGGCTGGAAGTGCCAAGGGACCCAGGGACACTGCTGTGGCCATTTTTATCATTGACAATCTCTATTTTTGTATGTAACGTGTCCTTT